CCATCTGCGTGTATCCTCATGGAATTGGCCCTAAGCAGTAGGCTTGTCCAGGATCTGAATGTTGCCGCGGCTCTGGTTGGATTTATCTTCGTCACCTGGTGGAACCATCTCCTTAAAGCTTTTTTGCGTTCGACTTCCTTTCTAAATTTAATCACCCAACCCCTTCCTTTTTCTAGAATGAAATCCATCACGGTTATATGCTGCATGTTTACGAGTAGTTAGGAATCTCAGATTCTTTTCCCTACAAGAGTTCTCCGAACAAACGTGCATGCAGAATTGTACCCCCAGTGATATATTGTCTTCGCCTTTAAATTTTTTTTTTGAGAAGCAAGAGTAGGAAACTACTCTGTAGGGGAGATAAATTCAGCTATCATCAACTGTTGTAGCTCTTCTGGCACGTCGGATACTATCTCCTGATCAACTCCGTTTCTGGCCGCCGCCGCGAGCTTATGGGCAAGAGCATTGCTTGTTCTTCCCACATGGTTCACACTGGAGCTTGCAAACATTGCAAGAGCTTGCTTAATGTCCTTAATCAGAGCGAAACACTGGGACCGATCCCCCCCCCCCCCGGCATCCAGCTCTTTTACGATTGCCTGACAGTCCATTTCCAAGATCAAAGGACCTCTATAGTATTTTGCTAGCGAACGTAGTCCAGCAAGAGCAGCTTTAGCCTCGGCCTCCTCAACAGTTCGGCTAGGGGTCAGATTTCTGCTGATTGACACGATCACATGTCCAGCCCTATCCCTTGCGACTGCACCTGCAGCAGAGACACCGGATTTAGACTGGAAGGCTGCATCTGTATTCAGCTTCACAACATCTCCTACTGGACCCGACCACTTTGAGCATTGTGTCGTATGGCATGAGGGGCTACTCCCTGCATTCTTACTGAACCCATCCCCTGCCATCACCGCCATTTGTAGATCTTCGGCATACTTCCTCAGAAAAATCACAGAACTCATGACTGATTCCATGCCATTGTGTCTTAGCATATCCTCTCTCAAGTGCCAACATCTCCAAAACAGCAGCAACAGTTTTGCTCGCATATCCTCTGGTTCCGTGTCCAAGAGCACTTGCAACCAATCATTCCCGATGTTCCTAAAGGATTTCTCTGCAAGTAAGGGCCACTCTTTCCTCATAGCATCACGAAGAGCCCTGCTCTTTGTGCAAGTGATCACGGCGTGAAATTCATCTTCCTCTCCATTGCCGCAGATACTGCAGGTGGGTTCTAGCTCTAGTGTTCTCTTAAACTTGTTTCTCTTTGTGGCCAGGGTATTTGTGGCGACTCTCCATCCAAAGATCCTCACCTTCTCGGGCACCTTAGCTTTCCAAATGAGATCCCAAATGTTACGATCCCCAGCCTCTCTGTTCGAACACGAGGGGTTTGTTTGGACATTTTGACTATAGAAGGCTGCAAGCTTGTACGCACTCCTGACCGAAAAGATACCATTCTTCTCAAAATGCCATGCAATGCAATCTTTTGTGTCTGTGTTCGGAATGGGGATTTTGCATATTTCCTCTGCATCAAAACTGTGAAAAATTTGGCGGATCAGGTTCACATTCCATTCCTTCCTCTCTGGCTCCATAAGTTGGTTAACCCAACGCAGCCTAGACCTTCTAATAAACGCAGACGATTTGAGACCTTCTTTCCTTGGTATCCATTGGTCCTGCTTGATCTGAATACTCTTTCCATCCCCCACTCTCCAAATTAAACCTTTTTTCAGCAACTGCAAACCGAATTCTATGGCTCTCCATACTGGAGACGCATCCGAGGCAAAAACAGTATCCAGAAGCTCACCATTGGGGTAATATTTAGATTTCAACACTCTCACGCAAAGGCCATCTGGATTCTGAATTAGTCTCCAGCCCTGTTTGGCTAGGAGCGCCTGGTTAAATAGGTGCATGTCTCTGAATCCAATGCCCCCATCACGCTTGGGCTTAATCATGCGCTCCCATGCCATCCAGTGTACCTTTCTCTGTCCTTCTTCGTCCCCCCACCAAAAGTCTCTAACCATTCTATCATACTTTTCACAGAAGCCCTTTGAGAACATAAACACACTCATTGCGAAGGTAGGAAGTGCTTGGACTACGGATTTGACGTGAACCTCCTTGGCCGCATAAGACATGAATCTTTCTGAATAATCATTGCAACGCTTTCCCAATCTATCCATGATGGGTTGGAACTGTTCATCCTTCATCCTCCCTTCCGGGATAGGCAAACCTAGGTATTTGCTCTCAAATACATCTGATTGTACACCGAGTACAGCCTTAATCCCTTCTCTGGCTTCGGCAGGGCATTTCTCGCTGAATAGGAGCGAGCATTTGCTTGCACTTAGCAGTTGACCCGTGCACTTTTGGAATAAGTCCAGAACCTTCTTAATTGTCTCGGCTTGCTCAATGGAGGCCTTGAAGAAGAGCAGGCTGTCATCTGCGAATAGAAGGTTAGATACACCTGGGCTATTGCGGGCAATCTTGATGGGGTTTAAGCTGCCAGCCGTGATCTCTCGGTTTATGAGGTTTACTAGTCCCTCGGCCATAAAAAGAAAAAGGTAAGGACTAAGGGGATATCCTTGCCGTAGTCCTCTGGATGGATCAAAGGGTTCTAGCAGTTCGCCGTTGCATCTAACTGAGTATTGTAAGTGCATCTAGTGCCACCCCTAGTTGGTTTTGGAGTATTGACGACAAACCTAGTTGAGGGACTAATGTGTTTGTGAGAATTGCAGGATAACACAGGTAGAAGTCCCTCATTGATTCGGTTTAGCTACCAGAGATGACCCCCAAAAATGTACGAAGACATTGAAGACAATGGTGGTTCATGAAGACATTCGTGTAGAAGACAATGACATATGAAGACTCCCCATGAAGCTTTTGGAACTCGAAGACTTAGATCCTTCGTAGCTTTACTTTATTCATGTTGTGTCATAGGAACCACCGTACTGTTAAGTGGGGTCCAAGAAAACCAGTCAGGATGACTGAAGTGATGCCTAATTCAAATCCTATGTCTTCGAGTGAAGACAATGAGAGAAAATCTTGTCCAGAGTCAGACAAGTCTGCTTTACTTGCAGCCCAAGTAAAGTTGCCGTGAGAGTTCAAAATCCGACCGTTAGTACACGTGTCAGTTCCTTAGTGACCCAGGGTCATTTCGGACAAATCAGGTCAGGGTTGCCAAGTGGCTATAAATAGTCCACCCCCACAACCATAAACGGTTGGCTGCTCAGATTTCAGTGCACGGCTTTTGTCGTTTGAGAGCAACCCACCTCGAAGCCTTTGAGAGAAAATCCTTAGTGAGGAGAAAAGCCCTAACCACCCAGAGCCAGAGTAATTGGGCATCACTTAAGTCTTCTTGTCTGAGTGATCTGAAGACTTATTACACTTGAGGACTGTGCATCCTCCAGACGGTTAGGCGTCGCGTTCTGAGCATCCAAGAGGAATTGTGAATTGCCGGTGAACGAAGTCTGTGAAGGTTTGGGAGTCTACCTTGAAGACTTACCAGAGTGATTGGGCGGGGTCTGTG